CATCCTCAGCGCTCTGCAGCAGGTCACCTTGTCAGCAGCAGAAGCTGATAAGCACCAAGAGCAACAAACAGGGGCCTAGCCCAAGGTCCTGGACCTTATCTTGAAAGCAGGAGGCACACAGGGAACCTGACCAGTGTGACCAAGCATAGGAGAGCATTCTGCAGCAATGCTCCAGCTGCTGGCTCCTCCATGCCCAGGGCTGGTGATGCCCAGAGCTGGTGACAGGAGTTTGACCCTCTGGATCAGTCTACCCCTCACTCCTCAGGGCTGGGTGACCAAGACAGACACTGGTGTGCTGAGAAGGGAACAAGAGCCAAGCAGCACCACTGCTGCAGAGAGATGGCCCTAGAAAAAAGATGCAACAACAAAATCCAAGAGCATCGCCTGCTCCGTCTGCAGTGAAAGAGCTTCAAAGCAGAAGAAAAACAAAAAGCCTGAGGAACAGACATCATTAATCTCTTGACATCAGCAGAAGGGTGCTCTCTGCCTGGATCCTGCTGTGGCCGGCGAGCCAGCGCAGCGCCCGAGGCACGAGCGAGAGGAGGTCACTGCACCGCTGCCGAACCCGTGCTGACACCATCCCTTTCATGGCTGTCAGCCTCTTCTGCAGCTGCATCTGGGGACTTGGAAGCTGACAAAACCCTTCTTAGGAAGCATCTGGTACATCTCACTGTAAATATTTAACAACAAAAAGACAGGAATTGAGAGCCAAGCGCCTGCAGAGACCCTCCAGCTCCAAGCATTCACACTGTCTAGGAGGAGACTGTGCAGCTCCTACAGTGCCAGTGGAGGGGGAGACGGGTTGTACAAGGCAAAAGTGTGAACTCTGCACAAAATATGCCTCTGGAAAACCTGTCATCTCAAAGAACAGAATGGGTTTCCAGAAAGGAGACTGTGATGTAATTCAAACAGCATCATTCTGAGTTCCTCCCGCTGTGATTCCTTGACCTTCCTGGCTACTTTGGCAGAGGCATCCCTGCAGGACCAGAGTGTCCCCTGAGAAGTGGCCACTTGCTAAGTGACCACTTAACCTCGCCCTCAGCCTGCACAGCTGCAAACCTGCCTCCTTGACTGCACAGAACAAGAAGAGACTGAACAGCAGCTCAGCTTGTGAGGTCAAGGAACACAAAGCCAGCACCGCATAGAAATCCAGCTCCATCTCCTGGGGCAGGTGAAAGTAATAGTGATTTGGTGGTAGGAGCAGGTGCAGCAAACTTCCCCAGGAATTTAGGGAAGTCATAGCTACACTAAGCAGGATGTCTCTGTAAATGTGTTGAAGTAATCTTACAGTCTCATAACAACCTGGATTAAACTGAGCACAGGTATTGGGGCTTCCTCCTCTTGGTGAATCCAGAGCATTAAAATCATGACAAGGCACTCAAATATCCCTGTGATCTCTGAGAGCAAGCAGAAGGGCAGCTTTTTGTTCTACTTCAGGATTACTGCACCTCAGCTGAGCTGATTTCAAGGCATCCTTTTACACGCAGAAGATGCACCATCCTCACTTATGCCTCCCACATGAAGCAAGATGCAGAGACATTCCAGGTTTTTCTAAATAACTGATATAGCAAGTCTGAACTTCCTGGGTTCACAATCACATTAATCCTGCTGCATAAACCACTCTCTCTAATAAAGCTAATTCCTGTGCTACAGGTGCCTGCCTCCCATGTCAATACACAGCATAAAAGAGTACAACACCCTAATCAGACTAAGTCTTCCCAAAGGAGTCAGGAATAACCAATTACAGAAGAGTGCAACCTAGCAGTTTCCTAATTTAAAAATCCATCTCCCCTCCTTTTATTTCTAAAGGATTAAAAACCAGTTCCTTGCAGTGGTAGTATCACCCTCATCTCTTTATGGAAAACTTCACAGTGTTTAATTCAAAGAGGCATTTATGAACTCAAGAAAGATATCTCAGACACTGCTGACAGTTGTACAAAATGATCAGGTCAGGGTGCAACAGATGAAAAAAAGTCATCAGGAGTGTGAAACCAAGACAGAGCATCACTTGCTGCTCTGTTGAACACCAGCGCATCCACAACTGCACCCTGCAGTCAGCTCTGGTCTCTGGAATTCAACAAGGGCACAGGGCTGTTACAGCTGCTCAAAGAAAAGCAATTAAACCATCCAGAGGCAGCTCCTTGAGAGGTGAGACTAAAAAGGCTGGCTTCTTCCACCACGGAGAGGAGGAGGGCTGGCTGCAGCTTGTAGGAGGCCAGGAGGGCACAGCACACTAAGCTAACAGGAGAGCCACTTGAAGTGGCAGAAGTATTCCCTTCCAGAGGAGGCAGAAAATTGCACATAGTAGCAAGTCCTTGGAGCTGAGCAGCATCGGCTCCCTGGCAGAAGAGTTTGGTGTTCAGAGTAAAGTCCTCCACAGACATCCAGCTGCAAATGTGCCCTCCCAGTCCTCCTCTGCAGCAGTGGGAATGTGAGAGTGTGTCCCTCAGCTCACCAAGCCCAACTTTGCATCTCTCAGGGGTGTTGAAGTCTCTCAGCTTTCCACCTGAACTCCAGATCACATGGTTTGCAATGGCTCCTTCTGAAAAGCACCCTACAGCTGCCAAATCCTGGATGTGGGAGAGGAGGGGACTGAGGCACTGCTGTGCCAGACAGAAGGAAAGTGAGGCCTCTCTTCAACAACTGCCTTATTTGCAAACACTGTTAGGTAACTGGGATGCAAACACTGCCATGCCTCCACCTCCACGGTGCTCCCATGTGACACGGGGATGATCCAGCTGAGGATCCAGGCTGAGGGCAGGCTGCCACAGGCATCCCTATGCTAACAAGCAGGAACATGCTCTGGGGCACACTATACTACTGTGCCTACAAAGGGGCTGAATTTTGGCTCAGGCACCCCTCACCTATGCAATTCCCAACCCTGATACTGCAACTCAGCATCTTCCATCACTCTGCTAACCATCTCCTTGAGAGAGGACCAACAGACTTCTCATCTAGAGAGGAAACCAGCCATGCAGACACACCTGACTTCAGAAGACTAAGCTTAAAAAACAGACCCCTGATTACATGTGTGGGAGTTCTGGTGACCAGAGTAAATTAACTCATTCAATAGCCTCAGCAGTGAAAAGGAGGTGAGGGAGTCAAACCCAAGCCTCAGGAACGCAGAACAGCTCTGGTGGTAGGAGCAGTGCCACTCTGCCTTTGCCTGCTGCCTTCACACTTCACTGTGTTTGGAGATACCATGGCTTCCAGATAAGCTTAGTGCATGGGAAGAAAAAGCATGGCACCAACTTTAAGGCTTTTCTGGAGAAAGGTATGAGAAAGACTGCAGTGTCCTGTGCAGCTACCATTTAGAGGAATCCTGTTTCAGCTTTAACTTATCTTCTAAAAAACAGACAGAATCGTAAAAAAAGCCCCAAGCTCTGTAGGTAATGTTTTCTACAACACTGCTGACATATAACAAACACTTTCTGAAGCGCTATCATCTGCTGCAGACACACACTCATGCCCCACCCTGGAGGCAGCTGTGCAAGGTCCCCAACCAGCTGGAGAACAGAGGATGGAGTAGTGCCAAACAAAGGACGTGTCTGAGTTCACAGCACAGGCAGACAAAACCCAACACCCAAAGAAGATAGATCTTCAGCAAGGTGGAGAAAAGCCTCCTACAAACTCAACAGATGGGAATGTATCTTTGCTCTTCAAAACCCTAGTATTTCACTCTTACATGTTAAGATAGCAAGAAAATCATGAGGGACTTACAAATATGGAATCAAAGCCTTAATCCAGTGCATCTAGTTCTACACCACGGCTTTGGTAGCTGGCTAGAGCTCTGGAAATGCATCCACAACTTCCATCCCTCTGTTCAGTTCAGCAGCCTGAATTACTTCAATGTTGCACCAGACATGTTACACCAGACCACTCTAAACCAGCGAGTTATTTTCCCTGAAATAAACTTTAAGACACCAGAGCTGATTTCCATACTTCCAATGCCTCCACCATCAACAGTGATTTATCCTCACACCATCCATGAACTGGTGAAATGGGATCCCATGCAAAACCAAAGATGGACATCAGAGTTGGACACGGTGACGTGCCTGGGGTGACACAAGCCTCAGTCAGGCACTGACTTCCATTCCCAGTGCCTTTGCTATGGCACATCCCCACATGGCAATACAGCTTTGAAACATCAGGCTCTCACTGACTGATCACGGCTTAAAACACAAACATTTCCTTCAGTCTTGGCACTTCCACAACATCAGCCTGGATGAAGAGCTTCTGGCAATTTGGGAAAGGCAGGAATTGAGATTATCCATATTTGCTTCTGAAAACTACATTACTTCCTGATTTGAAACCTCCATCCAGAGCAACCTCGCTATCCCAGCAAGGCTGCACACACCACTGGGGCCAGGAAGTTTTTTCTTTGCACTGATGGCAACACAGTGAGCAATTTGGTTGTCCTTAACAGCAGTACTCAACAGCAACACACAGACTACAAGCCATGGGGGAGGTCTGTGTCTTCCCAAAATACTGCAAATTCAAATATATATCCTCAGGTTCACAGACACATCCATCTGTATACAGGTAACATATAAACAACAACAATCTGAGTTATATTTGCATCTTGACACATCAGTGTTTTCAATTATGTGTGATGAGCAAGACCTACAAGTTCCCAAACTCCTTCACCCTGGACATCCAAATTTGCTATGCTACAATGGATGGGAGCAAAGAACCTTCCAGCTGTTTAGTCATCACTACATGAAAGCATAAAAGATGTCACTGCTATACAGGAATGACCAAATAGTAGAGGTTTGTTTAGGAAGTTCTTTTGCTTTGGTTTTCGGGTGGGGTTTTTTCGGGGTTTTGTTTGTGGTTCGGTTTTGGTTTTTTTTACATTAATGTCCATTGCATATTCCAGACTGTACATTGCATGTACCAGTCTTGTACATCTAGTTAGCTCTGACTCTGAAGTAAGAGAAATGCAGAGAAGGAAAGGGAGAAGGAAGTTTGAAGAGCTCCATTTTTTTTTAAATACATACCAGACTGGCCATCAGTTGGAAATATATCTGTAAAAGAAAAAAAAAAAAAAAAATCAGTATTGGTTGCAGCTGGAGTGCAAATCATATTTAAAAGGTCTTTTCTCTCAATTTGTTTGCTTTAGCTAAACAGAGGAAGTATTTTCTTAGAATCTCAAGTTAAACATCAATCCAGCTTGGAACCCACCTCAATTCAACCACTTGTTGTGAGAAAGATTTTGAAGGAGTCTGTTTACCCGAATGTGCTGCTCTCATAAATAACCTTCTGGATTGGTTTCTAGCAGACAGCAGTGAGCAAAAAAAAAGGTTGTTGAGATGTACAAAGACCCACACAATGAGCTACTTTGGTGGCAGCACACACTCCTCCTGAGCAGCAACATCAGATGGAAATCTACAGAGAACATCTAACAGGGAGCACAGGTGGAAGCCAAGGCAAAAGCCAAGTGAACATTCTTCTGATTGTCCTTGGTTTTGCAGCCATGGGGGACATCAGCAGCTGTGCCTGGCTCTAACACAGCAGCTACACCAGACACACACCCCCATCACCAAATGGACACCCAGGGCCCTGGCACATCACCCATCACACCAGGAGAACCCCTTCCCTTTCCCAGCTCAGGAGTCAGCAGGCACAGGCCACTGCACAGGACAGACTGAGTCTGGAGGGTTCAGACCCCAAAACAGATTATGTAACCTCCCCAGTCCCCCAGGCTCTTTCCAGTTGGAGGTACAGGAGGGCCTTCTCTTGGAGGGCCTTATGTATTTCTGAGATGTTTATTTAAGTAGTTGGAAGGACCAGACCTAATTTAAGGAGCACACAGGACAGTGTGTGTGGAAACCCCCGTTGATAAGGCTTCTCCGGAAGATATGAAAATTACTTTTGAGAGAGCAATACATTATGTTTTCTTCAAGGATCCTGGAAGAGGAGGGGGAAGGAAGGCTGCCAGCAAGGCAAGGTCCTCCTGGGACAGGGGCAGGCCCCTGACTTCTGCTTATCAGCTACCCAAAACACACAATCAGCTGGAAAGTCACAAGAGTTTCAGCAAGGACTACCCCTCAAGCAGGGCAATGCTCTCTGGCCTGGGCTCGGCTCATGCAGAAACAGCAAAAACACTCCCCTGCCAAAATAACTTATATTTCTCTTCCTTTTACTTGCATCACGTTCAAAGCATTCTCAGGCAGGGATGCTTTCATCCCACATAGGAACAGGAAGAGCCAAGCAGAGCAAAAATACCCAGAAGTTAAATCAAGACTCTCTCTACCATTATTACACAGTTATGATCTGTGGCCATTTGAAGGCATGGTATCAAGGACAGCCCAGCACATCCAGAACAGACTCCAAGCAACAATTTCAATCCTTTGCAAGCTGCATGTTCTACTGCAATCCTCCACCAGCCCACGTCCCTAATGCATTTAAATTTTGTATTTCTGTATGGTCACTTAGGAGTTCAGGCTTCTACTTCAGCAAGCTGAAACACCCTGTACTTCACAGAATCATAAAATTGTTAAGGTTTGAAAATACCTTTTAAGATCTCAAGATATAATTTATTTTCCTACTTGGGCTTCTCTACAAATGAACAAGGTGGTAACACTGGTATCCCACCTATTTGGATCAGCTGTACCAGATGCTACCAAAAACCAAAATAAACAACAGCACCACAATGGTTGATAAAATAAATTCCTTTGTGCCAGCCAGGAATTTAGCAAAGCCAGGCTTTGGCAAACGCTCCCCTTGCTGTACCCTGAGGGGTGCAGTTCTCCAGTCTGCATTCCTGCAAGGCCATCCCACCAACTCTTCATCAGAAACACCACAGCAGAACCAGCCATTCACACCAGGTCCAGGCTCTAGACACCACAAATGCCACCAAATCAGGCACAGCTGCAGGTGGCCCCTCAGCAACATCTCCTATCAGACGTGTCACCACCACAACTCCAGACTCACATTCCCTCAGCTCACTGCTGTATTCCCCACTGCCCTGCTCAGCTCTAGATGCACAGCAAGGTTCTCCTGGCTCCTCCTGAGCTCAGCCATGACTCTAGAGCAGCTTTGTCACTACATTTACTGGAAAAGCAGTGACTCTACTCAGTGGCTGAGGTCAGTAGAAAGCAAGGACCATGTGTGACAGCTCACATTCACCTCAAGAGGCTTGCCAGGGCAACTCCTGTCAAGGAAAGACACTTGCATCCAGTGCTCAGCCCCCTTGTCTGGGAGAGACTGCCCTTGTCCGACTCATCACACCTGTGAGTAACAGAGTTGACTCCAAGCTCTCCAAAGCACACTGAGAACACTCAGCTTGCAGGCAGCTTTCCCCAGAGCTGAGAACAAGCACAGAGCAGTCTGCAGGACTCGCTTTGAAAAATGGGGCTGCTGGGAGGACACATCTGAGGCAGGGCTCGTCAGGGACCAGCAGGCACAACGACCCTTTGGGACACCTTTCTCCCCTGCAAGCACAAGTGACTAAATTAGAAATTAGCCTGCCAATTAAGGGCAGCACCTCAGGTGCCCAAGAGAAGTCTAAATCAGGCAGAGCTTTCTTTTCCCAAGAAAGCCATGGTAGGGAAGCAGTCAGAAAGGTATGTGGCCAGCAGGTAAACCCCCATGGCTGCTCTCCGAGGAGCCCATCTCCTACACTGCAGGACTGAGACTGCCTGTCCAGGTCTGTTCCCTTCCCAGCCCTCCCAAGGCTAAAACTCAAACACAAAGAACATAGGCACAGGGACAGTTTTTTTTGCTCCAAGTCCCAACATAGACAGGTCAAGCCAGCAAACCAGCCCCACCAATTCCTCTCCACACACACCTGCTACCTCCCAAGGCACCCTGATGTCAGGGTCCTGATGCTGCAGGACAGTGCTTCACAGCAGCTCTCCACCATCCTGTCAGCCACCAGCTCAGCAGCAGGCAATCCCTACATGGGACCCAGGCAGTCCTGCCTGCAAACATCCTCCCAGCCATGCCCAGCCTGCCCTCCAGGCAGTCCAGTGGGAAGGAACAAGAAACAACAGTATCTCAATGCAAATGAGCAGACCCTACAGTCTCACACTTCCTCCTCCTTCCTGCACACAAGACACTTTTGTTTCTCAGCATGCACCCAAAATCAGAAAGAAGTGGTGTCTGAACAAAGGGACCTGCAGTCACCACGGGAACCAGTGATCTCTTCACTGCAGCACCAGGTACTCCCCAAGCCTGACCACTCTCCTCAGCCCTGTACAGAATCCATGCAGCCTACATCATCTCAACAGAAAAACACATTCTGTGGATCTTCCTATTATCAGCAAAGCAGGGTGGAGGATGGAGTGACGAGGAGGCGGTCAGGGGTGTGTATGGCAGCTGGCAGGATGTTGGGACAGGCACAGAGCATCCCTTTCAGGACCATCAAGTGAAGGTGCAGATGTGGTACAGGGGTGCTTGCTCTGAGCACCAATACCCAGAGCTACTGAACACAGCCCAGGAGATATAACTAAATTGAGGGCAGTTGTCCTTATTTTAGGTGGTGCTGGGGGTGGATCTCAATTTCAATTTTTGCCTGATGGTATTTTTACACAAAGGAGAAAACTATATACTAAAATGGGGCATTTAAAGAGAAAAGCTGATACATCCACACACATACCCCTTTCCCCAGGGGCTATCTGGCTACTTCTGCTATTCAGGTATCTGGGACAGGTCCAAAAAAGTCACCCCATTTATGAGCCCCCATCTCCCCTCTGCTGCTCTCTGAGGAAACACGCGGCAACCACGCTCCTCTGCCAGCCACGCTCAGAGTGCTGAATCCACAGGAAGCCTGTCTTCCCCAGCTCAGGAGCCACAGCCGGGAAGGGACCTCCACCCCCCAGTGCCTGTCCACAGCCCCCCTTTTCCAGTACGGACGCTGCTTCCTCCCTGCAGGGCCCGGGAGGCAGCGGCTGAGGAGCAGCTCATTATCCCTGACGCAAGAGAAACGCTGACTCGTTATTACAGCAACCTGCAGCCATAACTGCCGAGGGGCCGCGGCCGCAGGCCCAGTGCCAGCAGGAACCAGCTCCCTGCTGGCCCCCCACCTCCCACCATTACCCTTCTGCTCTCCCAACAGGAAAAACGAGCTCAGAGTGCTCCATGGCACCTGCCAGACACCAAAGCACACTGACCAGCATGCGCTGGGTGAGGGCTGTGCACGCACAGGTACCAGCACAGCGATGACAGCCAGCTCTCGGCAGAGCCCAGTGGGACATGGGGCTCATCCACACCGCCACAGGAAGACACCAGCCGATTTGTTCTGGCTTTTGACCCGTGAAGTTGTAACCAAATCATCCTCCACGTTTTGCAGACAAAAGACTTGGATGTCAGCAAAAAAAAAAATGACCTCTCCAAGGTCACCGGGGGACTCGAAGCAGGGACGTGACCAGAACTCGATCACAATGGCTCGAAAGCTGCAGGGCTGCACTGCCTGCCCAGGAGAGGGACTGGGGAGGGAAGTGCTGCCGGATGGCAGGATCGATTGGCATCTCTCCTCCTAACCTGACCTGCAGCCCAGCAGGGACGATCCAGGCACGAAAAAGGTCCAAATTACATAGTCCAGCATATACTGAAAAGAGACCAGAGCTGCTCAAATCTCTTCTCTGCAACATTTCAGTTCAAATCTCTGTCACCTGGCTCTCCTTCGGAGGCCACGCAGTGCCTGCACAGGTTCCTGAGACAGTTACAGGCCTCTTCAAAGCAACACCCCGCAGAAAAGGGGGTGAGGTCTGCTAGGGAAAAGCAGCAAAGCAAGAAACCCTAAACCCAAAGATTAGCATGGCCAATTTTATCCCTCCCAAGATCTTGTTTGCTTCCTGTTCCCCTCCTTTGTTACCTGCTGAGCAGGATTGGGGAGGGTCCACTTCTCAGTCACCCAGATCATTCCAGCTTTTTCCAGCTGCCAGGTCCATGCTAACACCTCCCATGCCTCTCAACTTACTGTAAGATATTTACCCCCTCAAACAGAAGCTGAAGCATGAGACGGATGGGTCAATCCTAACATGATGCTGGCTAGGTCCCAAGACAGCACTAAGAACTGTGT